GGCTGAATCCAGGAGCGCTTTGGAATGCCCAGTTTTGGGGAGGCTGGGCGAAAGCCTGGAGCCAATAGTCTCTAGCGGCCAAAGCCTGTGGGGGAATGACCCCCACTGACTTCGGTGACCCCACTGGAGTCCTCTGGCGTTCAAGGAGCCTTTCTGGCTGGTGAATAGACACAGCGACTTTGCCGCCTAGAAATTTACAAATGAGTGTCCTAATCCTGCAAAGATTTGAATGGGGCTCCGGGTGGGCACACGGCTTTGGAGCCAATAGTCTCTAGCGGCCAAAGCCTGTGGGGGAATGACCCCCACTGACTTCGGTGACCCCACTGGAGTCCTCTGGCGTTCAAGGAGCCTTTCTGGCTGGTGAATAGACACAGCGACTTTGCCGCCTAGAAATTTACAAATGAGTGTCCTAATCCTGCAAAGATTTGAATGGGGCTCCGGGTGGGCACACGGCTTTCCCCAGGATTTGCAGAATCAAAACCTCAGGACCACCTGGTTACACCACGGAAACGGGGGCAGCACTATGGCCCACGTTATGCTCAATGAGGACAAAGTTTGAGAAAAGAGAACAAAAGGCAAGAAGGAAAACTGCTCTTGGAAGAACAATGCACATGGCATAGGGTGTTTTTTGGGGGTGGGGGGGGAGAAGGGGGTTGTAGATTTTTATGCCTTAGCTACATAAAAAGGAGTATCACTAGCAATTCCACAAATGAGGTTGCAATGTAGTTTGGGCTTAACGCAGCCTATGTTTCATACGTGACTGAATGAATTTAGTCTAAGTTTTGAACAGTAATACTTCAAAGGACAGTTGTATTTTCTTAGTTTTATATTAAAATTTGCAGAAGAAAATTTTTTAAGTGTTCCCTTTCTGTCCTGTTACCCTATCCCTCATATTTGGGATTGCTGTTGTTTTAACCACAAATGTTCCAATAAACAACATGCGTACTGTATATCTCAGGCAAACCAGTTATGAACTTTTAACCATGCAACTATATACCATTATTTGCCACAACCTAATTCAGCTTGAGCAAGGTGATTCAAATAGATGGCTACTTCTGTTTCTGGGTGCTGAAACTACCAGCCTGGCTCCCTGACTAACATTGTGATGAGAGATTAAAATAATTTGTTTGAAATATTAATTTATTTTTCATATAAATTTCATTTTCCATGTAATTTTGTGATCAGTTCTAATTTTGACTTATCGGTAATGCTCTGCACATATCCGTGGCCAGGGAATTTTTTGAGAATTTTCATATCTAAAAATACACTTTCATCAAAAGTGAAATATTACTTAGGAATATGTTGATTTCATCTGCAATCTTTTTTTATTTGTTTTGACTTGCTATAGCAAAATGTTAATTGTATATATATTTATATTTAATATTATTTGTTTTGACTTGCTATAGCAAAATGTTAATTGTTGTATATATATTTATATTTAATTTTAAATTTAAAGGTTTTTTGACACCATTGGCCCAAGGTTTCATCACTTACCTAAGAAATGTTCTTCACATTAGTATAATAAAGTGAGATTATTCAGACAAGTATGGATTTAAATTTGCATAAAACTCACAGGAACTCCATAGTATTAGACCTCAGGGCTTGACATCTGCTGCATCTGGTATTCATACAGTGCTAACCTTTGAAAGACTCCAGAGAAGTGCATCTTCTCGAATATTTATTTGGTAATTGGGTATTGTAATCCATGAACTCTTAATTATAATGAAATGACTTTTCTCACTGACGTCCTAAGACAGCTAGACATTTTTATTAATGTTAAAGTGACAGACAAGTGAGTTTGATTATGTCAGTGTTAGTCTAAGTATATTGAAATTTCTTTTCATAAAAATGGGTGATCATATCACTCTTCAGTGGCTAATGAGGGTATTCCTATTGAGAAGAGATAATTTCTAAAACTGCCTCACAGATATTACTTATTCTGTTTCCCATTTGAAATCAACTCACTCTTTTAGCAACTGCACTGTAGGGAGTTGTATCTGAGAAATTGAACTGAAGATGAGAAATTGGGATGGGTGAACAACTGGAGTTGGTATGGACTAATGAAAGATTTTAAAAAATTACTTCAGGTCTTTGGGTCTTGCTGAACTGTGTTTGAGCAGGACCAGGGCAGAAAGTGAATAAAGAGGGATTAAAGCTACCATTGCACTCTTCTGCTCATGCACGTATCCAGGGGTCAATTCTAGCCTCTGAAATAAGTAAGAGTAGCCATAAGGCTGTTATAAATTACACTGACTCTTAACAACCTCTTGAGTCTATTACCTCAAATAGCCAAGGATAGTTGGTGTGCAATGTACTGTAGTCCATGCCCTTACTAACCAGACACAGCCCCTGTGCCAGTGCTTGATGTGGGAGGTGATAGCCTACATAAGGATTTCCCTGTGCCACTCTGCAGCACAGAAAGAATTTATTGGGGATTGGGTAGCTGGCTCAGAGTCTTTAACTGAATGATAGTTTGGAACAGTATTTATGGTGGCATTGATAATATCCAGTTATATGGATATAAAGGCTCTTACTTCCTGCATGTCAAACATCTCAAATTATCTTGCAAAAGTGAACTTTAGAATAATGTTATATAGTCAAGTATCTGATGATCCTTGTGCAATAACTTAATATTTCAATTTGTTGAATCATTGCTGAAAGTGTCAGGGCAGCAATACTCTCCTTATTTCTCACCGCCCCTCCCTTCCTTCTCTCTCACTTGCACCCTCATTTCTCTCCCTGCTCTTCTCTTGTTTACTTTTACCAGACAGGCCAACAAATAACTAATTAGTTATAAAACAATAAGTAGTCCTCTGGCACCTTAGAGACTAACAAAATATATATAGTATCATGAGCTTTTGTGGGCAAATACCTCTTCTTCAGATTAGCTGTCAATAGTAGTGCAGGTGTATGATGGGACGGCCCCACCCCGCACTCAAGCCCAGGGAAACCAACTGGCGCCGGGGGCGGAGAGGGCCCCACCCACGCAGCCCTACTGAGCATGCTCCAAGGGGAGCACAGGTATAAAAGGCTGCTGTCCTACTCAGAAGGGGCAGACAGCGGCCTGAGCTAGAGCTAGCACCCACCGGCCAGAGAGGGAGCCACCAAAAGGGCTGAATGCACCACTGCCAGGCCTCAGCTGGCCTCGGCCCCAACGCCGGAGCCGCCGACCGACCCCCCCGGGACCCGAGCACCGGACCGGACACTGCCAGGGGGGAGAGGAACAGCACGGAGGGGGAGTAACAGCATGGAGGGAGAGAGACACCGAGGAAGCGCGAGGGATCTCGGTGAGAAGGTGGAGGTGGGACGGGGGCTAGACCCGCTGGCGGGGTTGGCGGCGACCCAGGGCGGGCAGTGAAACCCGAGAGCAGGCGAGTTTAGGGGCAAGCCCCCACCTACTACCATCAGGAGCATTGAGTTCCTGGTGTTAGGGCCCTGGGTCGGGGTCCGGAGAGAGGGTGGGCCTGGACCCCCCACCCCGCCACCAGAGCAAGCGATATTCCGCCGGTGCTAGCCGATAACCCGGGTACGTTGGGGGAATGGGGACCCCCAAAAGGGGGGGGGGCCTGACACGTGGTGGAGAATGTGGGCAATCGACCCCGCCCCTGGGCAGAGGGGCTGGCAAAGGGGGTTGGTAGACCAGGGCAGAGTGGGCCCCGGAGACGGAGGAGGTGGTTGCTGACCTGGCAACAGCAGTACGAAGGAGACCTGACCGAACTGCTGAGGCAGTTGGCGGGGTTACAAGAGCGACAGGACCGCTGGGAGCGGGAGATCGCGGGCCAGTTAAGGGCCCAGGGAAGGGCGGGGCCCCATAGGGTCTGCACTTTTGGGCAAGCGCAGACTGCAGAGCCCAGAATGGGGCCAACGGACCCCGCTAAAATCATGGTGAGACTTAGCAGGGTCTGCCCCTTTGGGCAAGCCCTGACGGCAGAGCTGGGAATGGGGCCAACGGACCCCGCTAAAATGATGGTGAGACTCAGGGTGGAAGGGAACCCCACAGTGGCACTGGTAGACTCAGGGTGCAGCCAGACCCTAGTTAGGGCCTACCTAATATCCGAGGCAGAGCCAGCAGGGGCCCCCATCTAGTTGTTGTGTGTACATGGGGATGTACGGGCGTATCCGACAGCATGGGTACGGCTAGATGATGGCC